TTGGTAAGAAGCAGCCATGTTCGTAAGAACAAATGTATGGTTTCCATTGCATGGAGACCTCTTCAAGTCGTTTGGGTCACCTGTGTCCACACTAAGGGTTATCAGACAGAGTCTGCCATACTCTTTGACATGAACAAGGTGTTCAAACTTTGCCATTCAAAATCTTAGTTTAAAGGGAATTGACACCAGCAGTGCTAACCCTGGTGTTTAGCCTATAGCAGCCTTTGAGCCTTCAACTTGCAGCATGCTAGAGACTTCCATACTGACTTGAAGATACAATAAACACTTTTTTTCCCATATGTTGTTTGAAAGAGTTACAGTAAGAAGGAGAGAGGGAGGGAGAGAGATTGATTGATTGATCTTCCATCTACTGGTTCACTCCCCAGATGGCTGCAATGGCCATGACTAGGCCAGGCCAAAATTAGGAGCTTCATATGGGTCTCCCACATGGATGGCTGAGGCCCAAACACTTGACTCATCTTTGGTTGCTTTTCTCAGGCCATTAGCAGGGAGCTGATAGGAAGTAGAGCAGCTGGGACTCAAACGGGCACCCATATGGGATGCCGGCATTGCAGGTGGTGGCTTTACCTGCTACTCCACAACAAATACTTTCCAAGTCAACAAGTGATTTGTGGGAGAGTATTTGCCATTTGGGACCATCACCAAAGGTGAAAATTGGCTTCTTTAGTTCAAGTAGAGATGGCTTTGCTCTAATGGAATATATATCTTCTAAAATCTTGCTTTCAGCAGGAATGAGCCAAGAGGAGAGTGGGGAGAGCCACTGTCCCTTGCAGAGGAGTAGCTTGTGGTCAGGTACAGGAATAAGCCCATCTGGGAGGGGTCAGCTGCCATTTGGTGTGCTGGGGGGAACTGAGGCCCAGGTCATCTGCTTTTCAAGGTCGCCTGGTCCTCCCAGCAGTCCCAGTATACAGCAAGCCTTTGTTCTTGGCTCGCTGTCCCAATCCTACTGCCTGATGAGATCCCACCAGCCATCAAGGCCAAGTTCAAGCTCTGGCTCTCCCTTCTCTGGCTGTGCCTACCCATGTTAATTTGGTCTTCTTGGGGCTCCTACAGCCCTGCCAGCAGAGGAGCCTCCTCTCATTTCCTGTCTTGCATTGTTAGGTAACACTCTCATGTCTTATGTCCCCAGCCCTTCTGTTTACTCCTTAAAGCCAGGGAACCTGCTGCACGACTTTCATGATTGATCTCTCATCTACTGGCTCATTCGGGCTCAGTGGTTCATTCTTTCATGCCACAGGTGGTTCGCTAAGTACCTGGCTCTAAGTCGGGGGCAGAGGAAACAGAAATAAAAGCCAGTCTTTCCCTTAAGAACCTTCTAGACAGATGGAAGAGTCCTTCATGACTGAGGACTTACCCATTTCATCTGCTCCAATGTATTCTGTTCTCTGTTCTTGCCTCAGCCACCAACACTGTTGACATAAGGGGAAATCTACTTAGTAATCAGTGTATTGAGGCTGGTGGACTCCCAAATTTTCATTTTTTTAAAAGATTTATTTATTTATTTGAAAGTCAGAGTTACACAGAAAGAGGAGAGCCAGAGAGAGAGAGAGAGAGAGGTCTTCCATTCGATGGTTCACTTCCCAGTTGGCTGCAATGGCTGGAGCTGTGCCGAAGCCAGGATCCAGGAACTTCTTTCGGGTCTCTCATGCAGGTGCAGGGGCCCAACTCCTTGGGCCATCTTCTGCTTTCCCAGGCCATAGCAGAGAGCTGGATTGGAAGTGGAGCAGCTGGGTCTCGAACCGGCACCCATATGGGATACTGGCACTTCAGGCCAAGGCATTAACCTGCTGTGCCACAGTGCCAGCCCCCAAATTTTCATTTTTTAAAATTATTTACTCTATTTGAAAGTCAGAGTTACAGAGAGACAGAGAGAGAGAGAGAGATTGATCTTCCATCACTCCCCGAGTGGCTGCAATGGTTGAGTTTGGGCTAAACTGAAGCCAGGAGCAAGGAGCTTCATCCAGGTCACCCATATGGGTGCAGGGGCCCAAGCACTTGGGCTGTTTTCTGCTTTCACAGGCCATTAGCAGGAGGCTGGATCAGAAGTGGAGCAGCCGGGACTCAAACCAGTGCTGATCTGGGATGCTAGTGTCATAGTCAGTGGCTTAACCCATTGCACCACAACACTGGCCACAAATTTTCATTTTTAACTGTATATTCTACCCCACTGTCCAGATTTAATAAACCACCCACCTCTTCTCATTTCCATCTATGTGTTTGGTAGACTCCTCAAACTTCACGTGTCCAAGCACATTTTTGTTGCAACCTGCTGTCTCCTCAGTGAACAGTGCACAGTCACAGGCCAACAAGCTAGGGGTCACCTTAACTCCTGTTCCTTTCACAACCTTGCGCAGTATCATCAGGTCCGTGAGCTCCACCCTCAGAGCAGACTCAACATTCGATCATTTCTTCTCACCTCCACCACTGTCTCCCTAGCCCAGGCCACCATAGCTAGTAAAGGAATTCTCCAAATTCATTCTTGTGCCTTAATTTATTCTTTTTTTTTTTTTTTTTGCTGATAATGCCTTTTTTTGGGGGGGGGAGGGGATAATAGTCACATACCATCAAATTTACCTGAACTGTTAAATTAGATATTTTTAGTAGGTTCACAGAGTTGTACAACCATCATCATCGTCTAATTTTAGAACATCTTCATCACCCCTAGAAGCAATGTTTGTGCTCCAGCCATCACCACCCACCATGCCTCATATTCCCACCTTTCATCCCCCCTTCCCCTAGCAACCACTAAACTCTGCCTCTGTGGATCTGCTTATTTGGGCCATTTCCCATGAAGGCAGTTAGAGTATGGAGCCCTCTGTGCCTATTTTCTTAAAAAAGATTTATTTATTTGAAAAAGAGTGAGAGAAATATCTTCCATCTGTTAGTTCATTCCCCAGATAGCCACAACAGCCAGGGTTGGGCTAGGGCAAAGTCAGGAGTTTTATCAGGTCTCCCATGTGGGTGCAGGAGCCCAAGTATTGGCCCATCTCTTGCTGCTTTTTCCAGGCCATTGGTGGGGCGCTGGATCAGAAGTGGAGAGCCGAGACACCAGCTGGAGCCCATATGGTATGCCGGTGTTGCAGGCTGTGGCTTTTGGTGCTATGCCACAGTGCTGGCCCCAAGATTCATCTATATTATAGGACTGATCAGTTATTTCATTTTTTTATGACCAAATAATAATCATTGTGTGCCTATAGCATTGGGATTGTTTCCATTTTTTAACAGCTTTCAGTCAAGCTTTGAACATTCAAGTGCAAATTTTCGTATGGACATAACGTTTTCATTTCTCTTGGGTATGCACCGAGGCAGGGCATTGCTCGATCGTATGCTTAACTCCATGTTTACAGTTTTGGAGGAACTGCCAGAATCTATGGTTTATTCTTCATACATCAGGTCTTTTAAAAGTGTAAGTCAGACCACAGCCCTTTCTGCTTAAAATCCTCCAGGGATTTCTCATCTTCACTTCACAGTCCCCCACCCCCACCCCCAAGTCCTCCCCGTCTGCTACAAGGCTGGGCGTGAGCAGCACAATCTCACCTCCTTCCGTTGCTTAGGCCCCCGTAGCCACGCTCTCTCCTCTTTATTGCTCGAGGAGCTCAGCTCGGTCTCCAGTGCTGTTCTCTCTGCCTAGGATGTTTCTCCAAAGGGACTTCTCAAGGCTCTCTCCCTCGTTTCTTCCTCCCTGCTGAAGTGTTCTGTGCTCGGTTTAAACAAGCCCTCCAGTCCTCTTGCCGCACCCATCCTTGCATCCTCTCACCCTGCATTGTTTTTGCACATGGTACCTGTAAATGACCAGCTACATAATTTGTGAGGCCCCAGGAAAAGTGAAGAATTTCAAGACAGGGAAGCCAAGCTTAGGGCCCTTCTGAGCTGGGAGCCTGGTGTGACTTCCCAGGTTGCATGACGACTGAGCTGACTCTAAACCCTGGACTACTTAGCAAGAAAGGAAATCCCATTCTAACACTTCTGTTCCTTCTCCCATCCATTCCCACTGATGTTTCACTTCTACTTCCCTCTATTTGAGCTCTTTCCTGGAGGCCCCTTGTTTTCTGGTCCATGCCCAGAAAATTTATTTAATCATGTCTCTAGACCAGTCTTCATCTCCCCAATCTTTAGATTCAACATTAAAAATGCCTGGGAGCCAGGCAGGCTTAGACCATGCTCTCTCCTTAGCAAGTGCCCGGTGACTACCTTCTCTCCGCCAGGGATGTCCGAGAGAGGGGCAGGGGTAGAGAGAAGCCAGCAGCACTCACACATGACTCAGGTCCTCATCACACATCTATGGGAGAAATTCTACCATCAGAGATGACAATAAAATATATGAGAATCTGGATGTTTAACTATTTGGGGTCCAAATTGTGAAATTAAAGACAGCAGACTAGTACCTTCTTTGAATAATGTACAGTTAATCTATTACCTGATTGTATTCAATGCAGTGCTTACCTCTGAATTTTACCACTGTATCTTAACTATTCCTCTTATTTTTTTGGCTGATGGTTGATTCCATTTAGTCAGTGTTCTTTTCATCTTATCCTCATAGGAAATCCCTTAACACTTCAGCACATCACTTCTCATTTGCCTTCCTGGTAGAGTGAAATATTTAACTTTTCATGAAGGAAATTAGATACCTTCTAGGTTTCTCCCAAGTCCTATCTTTCATTATGGTTTCATATTTATTTTGGAGTGGACTCCGTGAACTTTGGAGACATGCTCACAGTATTAATTACAAATGTAATTGTAATTCTGGATCTAACTACAAAAGAGGTGTGGAAGTCCTTAAATACAGTCACCTAAGAGTTGAATCCATCCTAAATAGATGAGAATAGGCTATGTGGGTACTGTACTTTCTTTGAATGTAGAGATGTCTGTTTGATGATGGAACATCAACTTGTTTGATGCTAACAGCATACAAAATCTTTATTAAACATGATAGTACTATTTAGGTATTGTAACCAAACATTTTGCTTCTTCCTTTTTAGGAAATAATGCAGTTCTGGCTCACCAAAGGTGTTGATGGCTTTAGTTTCAATGCTGTTAAATTTCTCCTAGAGGCAATGCATCTGAGAAATGAGATTCAAGTAAACGCATCACAAATCCCGGTAACATTTAAAAAGATTTTTTGTTTTTTTGCTTTTTCTGAAAATGTCAGCAGAGTGCTTTCTGTTCTAGACTAAGATACCATTTATTTATTTTTTAAGATTTATTTTTTTATTTGAAAGGAAGAGGAAGGGAGAGAGAGAGAGAGAGAGAGAGAGAGAGAGAGAGAGAGAGAGATCGATCCTCCATCCTCTGGTTCATTCCCTAAATGGCTGTATCGGCTGGAGCTGGGCCAATCTGAAGTCAGGAGCCGGGAGCTTCTTTTGGGTGTCCCAGTGGGTACAGGAGCCCAAGGACTTGGACCATCCTCCACTGCCTTCCCAGGTGCATCAGCAGGGAACTGAATTGGAAGCAGAGCAGCCAGACTCAAACTGGTGCCCATATGGGATGCCAGCACCGCAGGCTGCAGCCTCATCAGCCACACCAAAGCGCCAGCCCCGAGATACCATTTACACAGACGAGTTATGTCTACTAGAGGAGGCACTTTGAATCACTTTCTTTAGAAACAGAGAAGTCTCATGAATGTGCCCGATGTTCCCTTGCATTGTTTCTTCCCAGAGTGAGGGACCCCTTGAGGATTCCCTCAGTGACAAAGTTTTCTAGGGACAAAGACAGTGGGGACTCTACCAAGGACCGCAAAATAGAGGACCACACTGTGAGTTCTGTCGTCTCACTCAAGCTCAAGCAAGGAAGGCTAAGTTCCCCATTCCTTCTCTAGCTGTTAAAGTGCACGTCGTTAGAGGGAAGGGGACCTACCGGTGCTGAATGTCTTTTGTGTGCTGTGGGCTGTTTACTTGATACGTCATTTAACTCAATCTCCTGTGAGACATGTTTCATGAACTCCGTGGAGCAAATCCTAAGAGAGGTTACCTTACCAGGGATTCCAGAGTTCCAGAGGAAGCCTGTCTCACTACAGAATCTGAGCTCTTGGGCTTCCACACCAGTGATTCCAACACTGCCTCAGGTCAGCTGTGAGAGTCGCCGTCTGCCCGACTCCTCTGGTTGGTCACCATTCCCTAGTCCCTCTATTGCCAAAGCCCCGGGCAAGTAGCCAGTAGTCCTAAAATGCATTGCAGAATGATGGATTCGTGTGCCTACCCTTGTACCTACATTTTAGTCACAATAGATGGATTACAGTGATGCAGTCATATGAGTAAAACTTGGCAATGATTAGTGAAGAAAATTTTACATTAGTATGTATCATGTAAAATCATTTTAAGTAAAGTTACAAGTCAAATGAAACTAGTTGGCTAGTTTCTTTTTAAAAAATTTATCTACGTATTTGAAAGCCAGAGTTACAGAGAGAGAGAGGGAGAGACAGATCTTCCATCCACTGGTTCACTCCCCAAATGGCAACAACAGCTAAAACTGGGACAATCCAACAAAGCAGGAGCCAGGAGCTTCTTCCAGGTCTCCCATGTGAGTGCAGAGGCCCAAGTACTTGGGCCACCTTCTGTTGCTTTCCCAGGTCATAAGCAGAGAGCTGGATCAGAAGAGGAGCAGCTGGGACATGAGCTGGCGCCCACGGGATGGAGGCTTAGCCTACTACACCACAGCCCCAGCCCCAGCTTCTAGGTGTTGTCTGGAGTAGATTTATGGGTACTTACAACTTCATTAAAATGAATCAGTTAACTAAAGAGAAGCTGATATGTACAAGTCAATCATCAGAGCATGTCACAAACCATACGTTAGGATTATGCCATTTTTTTTGCACAATTTCCAATAAAAAGGAAAAATAAAAAGATGCATTAACTCTGGAAAATCTTCTCCTTGGAGAAATGTTGAAATGGCCTTGCTGATCATAATGAGTTCCCATAACTTAGGCCTATGCTTGGAGTCATGACAAATGATCAGAATGATGGGTTTTGTGTGCTACGCAAGAATAACTTAAAGAACATGTAACTTCAGGAACAGACCCAGATTCCAACAAAAATGTTCACTTTATCTAGCAAGGGAAGTTCACAGACACGAAGGGAGCCTCCTGAATGGATAACTCAGGTCTTACTGTCCAGCCAGTCCAGGTCCCATCCCAGGACCTCTCACAGTGGCTTCTTTGAGTGTTATGTTTTGCTTTTGATGCAAGGAGACTATTGTAATCTTAGAAAGACATAGAAATGAGTATCAGGAATAATTACTGACATCCTGAGAGAAAGTGTAACAACAAGATTAAAGGTTAAGGATGGTTTAGAAAAAAATTTAAATGCATGATAGGCTAATAACCAGTTTTATAATCCTTAAGATAATTTGTTTTGTTTGCCTTGAACATTCTGTAGCTTTTAGACAATGAAATGTTTAGGAGGACTGTGTTAAATGCATTTGTAATCAGTGTTTGGATGTTTGGTAAAATCTAGCTTGCTAAAATAGGTACGTGATGGTTAGCAATGTATGTTAAAGCACCAATTAAAGTACTAACAGTTACGTTTTCTCTATCTACAAACCTTTGGAGCGATGAAGGTCCTAGGATCCTCTTTGAGCGTGTGTCTTGCTCAGCTGAAGACCTTTGAGGAGACTGTATTCACACAGAGCCAGATGGGGGCAGGGGACACAGGAGACGATAGTAACCATGCTGTCCCGGTTTTTCAAGGACACGGTCACACGCTACTCAGAGCTGTACCATGACTTCACCACTACACAGGAGGGGATGCATGACCTTGTCCGCAGCTTCCGGCAGACCATGGACAAGTACAGCAGGGAGCCCGGCAGATACAGGTAACCACTGGACGTGCTTCTCTCGTATGCATGGGGTCTGAGCTGCAGTTTATCCCGTAAAACCAGACATACTCAGGGGTTCAAGTTATGGCTTATTTATTTATTTGAAAGGCACATTACAGAGAGAAAAGAGAGGGAGAGAGAGACAGACACAGAGGGTGGTGGGGAGAGAGAGAGAGAGAAGGAGAGAGAGCTATCTTCCATTCGCTGGTTCATTCCCCAAATGGCTCCTCTAGGAGCCTGGAGCTTCTTCCGGGTCTCCCATGTGGGTGCAGGGGCCCAAGCACTTGGGTGACCTTTCATTGCTTTCCTAGGTACATTAGCCAGGAGCTGGATCGGAATTGGAGCAGCTAGGACTTGAACTAGGGATGCCAGCCCTGCAAGAGGCAGCTTTACCTGCTATACCAATGCCAGCCTCTCAAGTTACAAAATCTGCACTGTTAGAATTCTTTACAACTTCATTATGCCAGGGCCTGGGTTCTTTCATGTTGTTTAACTTTATTAATTTTTACTTCCCTCTTTTGTAAAATGTTGCTAATCACAGTATTATTTCACAGGAGTTTTGTGCAAATTTAATTGTGTACGTTAATTTTGAAAGAGAGGGCGAGAGAAGGGCTGGCACTGTGGTGTAGTGGGTAAAGCCACCGACTGCAGTGCTGCCATCCCATATGGGTGCCGGTTTGAGTCCCGGCTACTCCACTTCCCATTCAGCTCTCTGCTATGGCCTGGGAAAGCAGTGCAAGATGGCCCAAGTCCTTGGGCCCTTGCACCTGCATGGGATACCCAGAAGAAGATCCTGGCTCCTGGCTTCGGATCGACGCAGCTCTGGCCATTGTGGCCATCTGGGGAGTGAACCAGCAGATGGAAGACCTCTCTCTCTCCCTTCCTCTCTCTCTCTGCCTCTCTGTGTAACTCTGACTTTCAAATAAAAAAAATAAATGTTTTTTTAAAAAAAGAGGGCAAGAAAGGGAAAGGAAGACAGGGAGTTATCTTCCATCTGCTGATTCACATTACAAGTGCTCACAACAGCCAGAGCCAGGCTGGCCCAAGCCAAGATCCTAACATTCGATCTGGGTCTCCCATGTGGGTGGCAGGGATCTAAGTACTTAAGCCATCACCTGCTGCTTCACAGGGTGTGCATTAGCAAGAAGCTGGATTGGAAGCAGAGGAGTTGGGACTCAAACGAGGCACTCTGATTGGGATGCAGGTATCCCAAGTGGTGTCTTAACCACTGCACCGAATGCCTGTCCCATCATATGTATTCCTGTTAGACACGACTTGTATTACATTAGTCATTGGGTTTCTCCGAGTTATTGTGCAGGTGACCCAGCGTGACATTTTTTGGCCATGTGCTTTCTCAGAATCCCTGGCCCTGTGTGGTAAACAGTGTGCAGGTCTCATCCTGTGAGACGTAAGGAGCTAGAGCGCTTTCCCAGGGTCCTGACAGGTCCGGAGGATGCTGAACGCTGCCACCTCCTACAGGTTCCTGGGCACAGAAGCCTATGCGGAGAGCATTGACAGGACCATGAGGTACTACGGGTTGTCATTTATCCAAGAAGCCGATTTTCCTTTCAACAATTACTTCACCACTCTAGACACTCTTTCTGGGAACACTGTGTATGAGGTTATCACAGCCTGGATGGAAAACATGCCCGAAGGAAAATGGCCCAATTGGATGGTGAGTCTGCATGCCCTGCACAGCACGTATCGTGCTGCTGTACTTGTTGGCTAGTTACCTCTCTGCGGTCTTGAACTCTGCTTCATTTGGTGGCTGCTTAGTGGTCAGCCCTGGCCAGGTCCTTGACATTAAGGAGACACTGTCCATCCAGTTGAACAAATATTTAATGAATATTTATCTGTGCTTGAAACTCTACTAGCCTGTGTGGGGGGTGGACAGGAAGCCATTCTTTCCACACACCTCAGAGCTATGATCCTAATTGGAATAAAGAGGGCTTTGGAATGTGGAATGGGTGCACAGTGCCGAAACACCATCTTGTTGGGAGGAATGCAGGGGAAAAGGCATTGAAGCCACACAGACTCTGGGGAAGATTTTCCCTTCTACACTGCATCCTTTAAAATAGAGGCCACATGTGACTTCCTTGTTGACTGAGAGGGCCTAACATTTTGGAAGATTGGCAACTTTTCAGTGAAGAACAGAAGATACAGTAATAGAAGGAGGACTTCTGAGAGTTTGTGGAGGGGGCATTAGCCTAGCGGTTAAGATGCCCACGGTCAATTCCTGGCTCAGGCTCCTGACTTCAGCTTCCTGCCGATGCAAATCCTAAAGGCAGCAGTGATGGCTCAAGGATTTGGCTTCCTGCCAATGACATGGGAGATCTGATTGCATTCCTGCTTTATTTCTTGGGTTTTTTTTTTTTGTTTTTAAAACTTCCTTAGTTTTTTTTTTTTTTTTAAATTAAAGATTTATTTATTTATTGAAAGGCAGAATTACACAGAGGCAGAGGCAGAGAGAGAGAAGGGTCTTCCATCCGCTGGTTCACTCCCCAGATGGCCACAACAGCTGGAGCTGTGCCTATCTGAAGCCAGGAGCCAGGAGCTTCTTCCAGGTCTCCCACATGGGTGCAGGGGCCCAAGGACTTAGGCCATCTTCTACTGCTTTTCTAGGCCATAGTGGAGAGCTGGATCAGAAGTGGAGCAGCCGCCACCTGAACTGGCGCCCATATGAGATGCTGGCACTGCAGGGGGCAGCTTTACCTACAACACCACAGCACTGGCCCCCTTCCTGGTTTCTGATTCTGACTCTGGCCCAGCCCTGGCCATTGCAGTTATTTGGGAAGTAGATCAGCAGATGGGCGCTGTGTCCTGTGCTGCATTTCTACTTGTCTCTCAAGTAAATAAAAAAATAGTTTAAAGGTTGTGGGAAAATATTGAGAAGCTTATTTTGGTGCAAAAATTTTTTAATGAGATTTATTTATTTATTTAAAAATCAGAGTTACACAGAGAGAAGGAGAGGCAGAGAGAGAGAGAGGGAGAGGGAGAGAGAGTGTCAGCCTTCCACCCACTGGTTCACTCCCCAGATGGCCACAATGGCTGGAGCTGCGCCGATCCGAAGCCAGGAGCCAGGAGCTTCTTCCAGGTCTCCCACGTGGGTGCAGGGGCTCAAGGACTTGGGCCATCTTGTACTGCTTTCCCAGGCCATAGCAGAGAGCTGGATGGGAAGTGGAGCAGCCGGGACTTGAACTGGTGCCCATATGGGATGCCGGCGCTCCAGGCCAGGGCGTTAACCTGCTGCGCCACAGCACTGGCCCCACAAAAAATATTTTAAAACATTTATTTGAAAGGCAGAGTTACACAGAGAGGGACAGATAGATCGTCCATCCACTGGTTCACTGCCCAAACAGCTGCAGCAACTGGGGCTGGGCCAGGCTGAAGCCAGGAGCCACATCTGATTTTCGCATGTGGGTGCAGGGGCCCAAGACTTGGGCCATCCTCTGCTGCTTTCCCAGGCACGTTATCAGGGAGCTAGATAGGAAGTGGACTTGAACTGATGCTCATATGGAATGCTGGCATTGCAGGTGGGAGCTTAACCTGCTACACCGTGATTCCAGCCCCACAAAGAGAATTTGAAGATTTTATTTTTATTATATTTATTTTAAAGGCAGAGTGAGAGAGAGATCTTCGAATCTGCTAGTTCTCTCCCCAAATAGCCCCAACAGCCACAGATAGGCTGATTTGAAGCCAGGAGCCAGGAGCTTCTTCCTGGTCTACCATGTGGGTTGCAGGGACCCAAGTGTGTATTTGAAAGTTATATAGAGAAAAAGAGAGATCTTTTCTATCTAATGGTTCACTACCCAAATAGCCACAAGGGCTGGGGCTGGGCCAGGCTGAAGCCAGGAACTTCTGGGTCTCCCACATGGGTGGCAGGGACCCAAGTTCTTGGACCATTTGATATGCCATTTCCCCAGGCATATTAAGAAGGAACTGGATTGGGATCGGAACCAGCTCCCATGTGGGATGGTGTTGCAGGTGGCAGCTTAACTCACTATGCCACAATGCCAGCCCTAAAATAAACTCCTTTAAAAATGTATCCAAGAGGCAGAGAGAAGAGGAAGGAGAGTGAGGACACTCTCCTTTTGCAATGGCCTGGGCTAGGTTTGGGCTCAGCGGGGTGCTAGGAACTCAATCTGGGTCACCCATATTGGTGGCAAAGACCAAACTACTTGAGTCATCACCTGCTGCCTCCCAGGCCCTGCGCTGGCAGGAAGCTAGAATCGGGACTTTTTGAATTACCCTGATATAATTGTGGTAATAAGCCAACCTTATCACTTCCAAACCCATCAAGGTTTCTTTGCCTTCTAAGATATTCTGTATCTTTGGATATGGGTTAGTAAAGGGAACACATTAGACCCCGTCAGTAAGATATCTGAAGTTCTAAGGGTACTTCAAAAAATGAGAACATTTTTAACTCCCCCCACCACTTTTGGTGCATTAGACCTTTAAATCCACAAAGTTCTTTCAAATTATGTATTTCCATGAACTTTTTTTTTGACAGGCAGAGTGGACAGTGAGAAAGAGAGACAGAGAGAAAGGTCTTCCTTTTGCCGTTGGTTCACCCTCCAATGGCCGCCGCAGCCAGCGCGCTACGTCTGCCGGCGTACCACGCTGATCCAAAGCCAGGAGCCAGGTGCTTCTCCTGGTTTCCCATGTGGGTGAAGGGCCCAAGCACTTGGGCCATCCTCCACTGCACTCCCTGGCCACAGCAGAGAGCTGGCCTGGAAGAGGGGCAACCGGGACAGAATCCAGCACCCCAACCGGGACTAGAACCCGGTGTGCCGGCACCGCTAGGTGGAGGATTAGCCTAGTGAGCCGCGGCGCCGGCCTTCCATGAACTTTTGAAAGCCCCCTGTATGTTAACATTTTATCTATTCATCTGTTGACGAGCATTTAGGTTGTTTCCTCCTTTTCATTATTAGAGTGCTGCTATGAATACTGGCTTACAAGGGTCTCTTTGAGCCTCTTTTTGGATATATACCCAGGATTAGAGTTTCTGATGACACAGTACTTTTTTCTTTTGGATCTATGTGAAGGGAGTGACAGAGAGAGGGATAGGTTTAGAGATAAACAGACATTGTCTATCAGTAGGTTCACTCCTTAAATTGGTTGCAAGAGTCAGGCATGGTCCAGGCTGAAACTAGAAGCCAGGAACTCCAGCCTGGTCTCCCACTTGGGTGGCCAGGACCCACGTTCCTAGGTCATCTTTTGCTACCTCTCTCAGGAGTATCAGCAGAAAGCTGGATCAGAAGCAGAGCAGTTGAGGTTAGAACTGGTGCTCTGATACGGGCTGCTGGACTTGGAAATGCCAGCCCTAGAATTTCTGTCGACCTTTTTTAGGATCTTCCAAACTGTCTTCTGCAGTGACTTTCCCATTTTACACACCCATTAATGAGTTTACAAGTGTTTGAATTTCTCCATTTTCTCACGTTTCATTTAAAAAAATTATAGTAGCTGTGGAGTAGTATTTCATTTTCTTGGTTGAGGTTTTTAATTAATTTGAATGTTTTTATTTCACTGCCTTCTGGCCTCCATCATTTCTCAAGAAAGTCAGTTGCTAATCTTATTGAAAATCCCCTGTATGTTATGCAAATTCTGTATTGCTGCCTCTAAGGTTCTGTGCTGTTAGTTTGGTATGTTGAATGTAGGTCTTTATTTTCTCCTACTTGGAGCCATTGAGATTCTTGTCTGTTTAAATTTGGAAAGTTGTTGGCCATTATTTTTCTAATGTAATTTATGTCCCTTTTTCTCTGTCCTTTTGAGACCCCCATTATGGATGTGTTGGTATGAAAGCTGATGTCACACAGGTCTGAAATTTTTTTTCTTTTCTGGTTTTCAGACTATATTCTCTCAATTGACCCATCTTCAAGTTTTCTGATTTTTGCCAGTTCAAGTCTGTCAAGCTCCTCTACTGATTTTTTCATTTAATGTACTTTGTATCTCCAAAATTTCTATTTTTTAAAAAAGATTTATTTATTTGAAAGAGAGAGAGAGGTAGAGACAGAGAGGTCTTCCATCCACTGTTTCACTCCCCAAATGGCTGCAACAGCCAGAGCTGCGCCTATCCGAAGCCAGGAGCCAGGAGCCAGGAGCCAGGAGCCAGGAGCCAGGAGCCAGGAGCTTCTTCTGGATCTCCCATATGGGTGCAGGGGTCCAAGGACTTGGGCCATCTTCTACTGCTTTCCCAGGCCATAGCAGAGAGCTGGATTGGAAGTGGAGCAGCCAGGTCTCAAACAGGCGCTCACAGGGGATGCCACTACTGCAGTGGCTTTACCCACAATGCCACGGCACCAGCCCCACTGTGTTGCTTTCAAAACTGTGGCAGGCAGTTTACAGCTCTGCTGTGGCCTTCAATTTCTGCTTGTACGGGGCCTCAGGGTTAGCCAGACTGAGAGTAGAGCCTTTCCCAGTCTTTCCTGGGCGTCTGCACAACCCTCCTCTGTGCACAGTCCTGTGCTTGGCTGATCTTCTCAGCTCCCAGAGATGTCAGAATTTTTGTGCATCTTAGTTCCCTTCTCATTTCCAGACACCTTGGCATTTGTCTCAAGTTAGCCCCAAGTGGTAACATCACAGGCAGGCGCAATGTTAAATAAACAGTTAACTCTGAAAAAGAAAACACTGAGAAAGGCAAGTTGTGGCAGTTCTTTAGGGACGGAGCTGTAGGTGAACTCTAAATCCTTTTTGCCTGGTCAGTGGTTGCGAGGCTGCTGGTTGTGAAGGCTATCCTGGATCTGAGGGGAGGCGTGAATTTAGGGCGAGTGAAGGTGCTACAAAGCTTTCTCTTCTGCGACCTAGCTTTTTTAATTTTCTTTAGAAAGATGTATTTGAAAGTTACAGGGGCTGGTTCGAGTCCCAGCTGCTCCTCTTCCAATCCAGCTCTCTGCTATGCCCTGGGATAGTAGTAGAAGATGGCTCAAGTCCTTGGGCCCCTGCATCCATATGGGAGACCCGGAGGAAGCTCCTGGCTTCAGACTGGCGCAGCTCTGGCCATTGCAGCCAATTGGGGAGTGAACCAGTGGATGGAAGACCTCTATGTAATTCTGACTTTCAAATAAGTAAATCTTTAAAAAAAAATTAAAAGTTACAGACAGAAGTAGAGACAGAGAGGTCTTCCATCTGCTGGTTCACATCCCAAATGGCTGCAATGGCTAAAGCTGAGCCAGTCTGAAGCCAGGGGCTTCTTCCAGCTCTCCCACACCAGTGTAGGCCCCAAGCACTTGGGCCATCCTCTACTGCTCTCCTAGGTGACAGCAGAGAGCAGGATCGGAAGAGGAGCAACTGGGACTAGAACCAGCGCCCATGTGGGATATCGGTGCTTCAGGCCAAGGCGTTAACCCACTGCACTATAGCGCTGGCTTGCCAGTTGTTTTCCTTAAATACATTTAGTTACAATAGTTTTTAATGAATAAAAGGCAATTTTTACAAGTTTTACCATTCTTAATGCTTTTATGGAGATTCTTTGCCATTCTGGAATCGTGGTTTTACCATTTTTTTCAATTTTGAAATTCTCCAGTATCACAGGTGACTGGCACCTGAGCCTGTGACAGACCGCGATCTGTGTCCATGGCTGTAAACTATTGTAAACTACTTGCAGAACTATTTCCTGATTTCAGTTCTGAAAGACAGGGTGGGTGTCTGGCATAGCAGTTAAGACTTTCACTGCCTACAGCCCATACTGGAGTGTCTGAGTTTGAGCCCACCTCTTCCCAGTTCCAGCTACCTGCTCACATGTGCCCTGGGAGGCAGCAGCTCATGGTGCACACAGTCTGCCCACCTGGGTGATCTGGACTGGGTCCTCAGCTGTTGGCTTCAGCACTGGCTGTTGGGAGCATCTGGCAAGTGAAACAGTGGATGGGCAATCTCTCTGCCTTTGACATGAAGTAGCTGGGAGAGAGGGAAAGGAAGGAATCACAAAAGCAAGCGGAGTGCTGTACAGCCAGAACACTTGAGAAATCGTAGATTTCTTTCAGAAGAACTCAAGATAATGAGAGGCAAAATTTGACCTAAATTTCTGGTTATAAAAAAATAATGATCTATAAAAATATGAAAGTCATTTTAGTACATGTAAGTGGGGAAACCAGCCTCCCTTTTCCTACGTTGTAGCAATGTTCTGATTAGGATTTATTTGATAGGTGGAGACACAGATCTTCCATCTGCTGGTTCACTCCTAAATACTCGCAACAGGCAGGGCTGTTAGGAGCCAGGAACTCATCTGGGTCTCCCATATGGGTGGCAGAAACCCAAGTCTTTGGGCCATCATCTGCTGCCTTCCAGGCATATCAGCAGGAAAGTGGAACTAGGTGCAGAGTAGCTGGGACCTACTAGGCACTCCATTATGGGAGGCGGATGTCCCTAGTGGCAACCTAACCTTCTGAGTCAGGTGCCTGCTCCAAGTTCTAGCTCTAAGACTCAAATTCAAAAGCAGGTTCTCCTTTGAAAGTCGGAACTTACATGGTGCAGTTTCTCAGGGCTTATGTAATCATGTGTAAAGTGCAGGTATTACCTGATAGCAATAGTTGTGGAGGAAGGAAATTAGATAAAATACAGGTGTGAAAGCACTTTTTAAACTGCCAAGCTCAGCGTATGCACACATGACATTGAGTTGTGCTGTTCTCAAGCAAAATAAACTCTAAATAAGGACTGGATGTTGAAATATGTAACCAGAACATCTAACATAGAAATACTTAAAACAAAGTACTATAAAATTTCTTCTTGGACTATGTACATTTTTTAAAGTTTATTTTAATTATTCCAAGTAAATTCTACAAAGTCAGTCAAAACAATGTAAAAAAGAATACACCATCTTTCTCCCACACGTCCCTCTCACCTTGTTTCCTTGTCCTGAAGGAAGCATTTTCTTCTTTTCCTGTTAGTATTCTCTTATTCAAATGTGAGAAAATAAGAATATGTACCTTCTAAATTTTATCTTTTTTGCAGTATCATTGGGAAGTAAATTATTACCATTTTGCTGTTTATCAGTAAATCAGTTATGCATTAAGTAGCAAGAATCCAGGCTTGCTAGACACCAGAGGCCCAAGTCCCCATGCTAGCTTTCTGGCTGGTGAGCTTTCTGTGAAATAGGGTAAGGTTTCCAGAGAAATGTGGAGAGATGTGTTCTTACAAGTATCTGCCTTTCAGACTGGTGGACCAGACATCACACGGCTGACTTCTCGTCTGGGGAACCAGTATGTCAACATCATGAACATGCTGCTTTTTACACTTCCTGGAACTCCCATAACTTACTATGGAGAAGAAATAGGGATGGGAAATATTTTAGCCACAAATCTCAATGAAAGCTATGATGTGGTAAGCTTAATGCAACTTAACTATGCACCAGAGCTGTGAAACCAAGGACTTGTTTTGTTGCTAAATCAGGGAATTTACTATTTTCTGTTGTTGAAAACCATGTTATTTTTCTTACTTCCAGACAGTCAGAATTCCCAGTTTTCTTGCGCTGATTGGGGGAATTTATTTAAATTGCCCCCCCCCCCAGCTGTATTCTGATGTTTTCCAGCTGACTCTTGGGTACACTAAAATTTGAGAACCAGTGGTTTCATTTGGAATATTATTCATTGCCTTTTACCTGAAACATGGAGAGGAAGGTTTTCTTTAGTTCTTACTTGGTCTGGTAGATCCTGTGTGACCCTAGCACAAAAGCTGCTTTTATGTTATCAAGTACAACGCACCACTTCCGCGTGTTTGAGGCTGTGGTTCTCACAGCTGTGCTGCTGGGTGGGGGACTGTGATTTCCCTCATATCTGGTTAAGGTGAAATTTTCTTCGTCTGCTTACACCTGGGTGTACACCCCCATGTGCAGTACTCACTCTGGTTAAGTGGGAAAGAATTCAGGCTCACTGGTAAATAGCACTGCCCATGGACTCACCATCACCGTATCCCACAGCAGAATGAAGTAGCATGATTTGTTAATGGCATATTTTGGATGGAAAAGCACAGATTCCAAGCACACTGGTATAGTCTATTCAAACTCGGGATGTTCTGAGCTATTTTCCAATTAAAAATATGAATCTGGGTTATGTATTGAATATTAAGACCTTTTAATCATGAAAAGTAATGAATACAAGCATCGTTTAAGAACTACAGGGACCTAGAGAGTTAAGATGTAAATCAGGACCACAGTGCATTTCTTTCAATACGCAGACGATTGCTTTCTGTCTGACAGAACACCCTTCTCTCCAAGTCACCAATGCAGTGGGACAACAGCTCCAATGCTGGTTTCTCTGAAGGCAATCACACCTGGTTACCCACCAGTTCAGATTACCACACTGTGAATGTTGACGTAAGTATCAATGAAAATTTTGTTCATTATAGAATTGTGTTTCTTTATCTGAGAGAAAGAGGAGAGAGAGAAATCTCCCGTCTGCTGGTTTACCCATCAAACACCCACAACGGATGGGGCTGGGAGCAGGGAACTCCACTTGGGTTTCCTATGTGTGTGGCAGAAACCCAAGTACTCGAGCTACCACCACCGGCTCTCCAGATGCACTTTATTTTTATTTTTTGACAGGCAATTAGAAAGGTCTTCCTTCCATTGGTTCACCCCCCAAATGACTGCTACAGCCGGCGCTGTGCCGATCCAAAGCCAGGAGCCAAGTGCTTCTCCTGGTCTCCCATGGGGTGCAGGGCCCAAGCACTAGGGTCATCCTCCACTGCCCTCCCGGGCCACAGCAGAGAGCTGGACTGGAAGAGGGGCAACCGGGACAGAATCCGGGTTGCCAGCACCGCAGGCGGGGGATTCACCTAGTGAGCCGCGGCGCCGGCACTTTAGCATGAGGTAGGAATCAGGAGCAGAGTCAGGACTTGAACCCAGGCACTCTGATACTGCACGTAGCTATCACTAATCCAAAGGCGCATCAGGAAACAGGTTTTAATGACACCCTCACCTTAAGTGTGTCTAAAACTGTAACTCCTTCAAAGACTTCATTTCCTTGTGGTTTTCAATTTGTAAGGAGTTTGCAAATCATGTTTTTGTGTAAACATGAACTGGTACATAAAATGACTACAATGAATACAAGTCTTCACCGGAAAGAAGATGGAGGGAAATTTTACGGAAGCCTTTCAGCAAGCCCCGCCCCGCCCCTCTTTTATACGCAAAGCAAGGAGGCAGGCAGGAGGGTGATTACTCTTGGGTACCTGAAGAATGGAAGACATGAAGGATCCTTGGAGATGTCCTGGAAAAGAACACCTTTTGCCATCTTCTTAAGTAACCAAGGATTAATCCCCTGCACTAGTGAAAATTTCACTGGAAAACAATCCAAATCCAATTAAGGGAAAGAGAAATCATTGCCATCCCCAGAGTGTGCTAAGTAAGAACTTGACAGTGCCCTTCTACCCCGATCTACTAAGTAATCCCTACTGCACGTACCACCAAGAATTCCTGGATACCCTAAGCACAAAATGTTCAAACATTTATGTTTTGGATTGAATTCCCTTACCAATTTTCATTATTCAAAATGTTCCTACAGGAGCCGGCGCCGCGGCTCACTAGGCTAATCCTCTGCCTTGTGGCGCCGGCACACCGGGTTCTAGTCCCGGTCGGGGCGCTGGATTCTGTCCCGGTTGCCCCTCTTCCAGGCCAGCTCTCTGCTGTGGCCAGGGAGTGCAGTGGAGGATGGCCCAGGTGCTTGGGCCCTGCACCCCATGGGAGACCAGGAGAAGTACCTGGCTCCTGCCATCGGATCAGCGCGGTGTGCCGGCCGCGGCGGCCATTGGAGGGTGAACCAACGGCAAAAGGAAGACCTTTCTCTCTGTCTCTCTCTCTCACTGTCCACTCTGCCTGTTAAAAAAAAAAAAAAAAAAGTTCCTACAGACCAGTCTGAACCCAGTATGTGAGAAATGCACCCAGTGAGTGGGCATTTGGCCACCTATATCCCACATCAAAGTGCTTGGGTTTGAGTCTCACCTCTGGCTCCTGCATCCGCCTTCCTGCTGATGTACACCTGAGAGGCAGTAATGATGGCTCAAAACGTTGGGTCTCTGCCACACACATGGAAGACCTGGATTGAGTTCCTGGCTCCCAGCTCTAGCCTGGCCCTGGCTGTCCTGAACACTTGGGGAATGACTGGGAACCCTTTCTAATAAATCATAAACAAACACAGCAAAATGTCAGTGCAAATTAAAACAATGACATTGCTAATCTGATAGAAAAAAGAAAAGTCTTTAAAAATGATGATTAAATGATGCTTCAAAGGAATAGTATTTAAATTACAAGTCCTAAACAATACCATTTTAATAAAATATATCCATAATAGCCCCAGAAAGGTCTGATGCCACTGACAGATAAGAATTCATGTTATTTCTAAAATTATTATTGCAAGAAACAGTTATAACAGCTACAGGTCAGAGCACTATAGGAACTTTATAAACTGTTGCAATTGGCTGCAGCAGAAAAACAAATCAAGCAACCCAAGGCCAGCTGGAAGGAATTTTCAAAGTCTGAAATAGTGTCAAACTTGTGCAAGTGCAGAAAAACAAAACAAAACAAAACAAAACAAAAACACCAGACAAGACCTAATTCTGATGTGCCCTGATTCAGCTTGAATGTTCTCAGAAATGCAAGTTTCTATTCAGACCCAGGAGGCCATGGGAGTTGGGAAGGACTTGAGCTAGCTCATCACTAAAGAACCCTGAATCCCCAAGACAAACCAGCTTGGCTGCTCACAATTGTGACAGGCAGGCGAGCAACCAAGGAAGATGAAAATACAAGAGCAAGAAGATCATTCTCACTACCTTTGAGAAAAGTCAAGACCATAAAAGAGAGACACCATTCATAACAGAACACTGTAGGATGCACAGAAAGCCCAAGTGTGACATGTGTTATGAACATTCCCAGAAGACTGGTCCATGGAGCTTCTTGATACTCGACAAGAATGATGAGGTGGGGAGTGAACCAGCAGATGGGAGACTTGTTTTTCTCTGTCTCTTCCTCTCAAATGAATATATCTTAAATAAGATAAAATGCCTCAGATTATGTCTAAATGAATGATTATCACAAATAAAAATGGGTTAAATTTAAGGCAAAATCTGGACATAAAATAAAAATGTATCCAGCAAACAGTATCACAAAGAAAGCCTGTAACCCAGCTCTAGCTATCTAAATAAAAAAAAAAACGCATATACTTTGTGACCTAGCAGTTCTATTCCAGGATAATTAGACCTGGATAATTTGCAAAGCACCTGCATGGCAGCATTGTTAGTTTTTCACAGCAGAAGACCCTAGAAATGATTTATCAATAGAAAACCTGTTTCATCAATTCTGGCATCAGTATGCAGCTTTTAAAAAGAAAGACTATGAGAGTATCTGTATTGACATGAAACCATTTCCTAGTATTAAATAATACATATTAAATAATACATATGTATTAAATAATAAAGTGTAGAATGGAAACATGCCAATATCTATAGAAAACTTTCATATATGAAAGTGTCTGCACATGCACAGGGTGATTATTTAATATGATATATAAAAATGAGAACACAGAAATAGCAATGCCAAGCCTCTGGGAAGAGAAGTGGGAAGCTAGGAAATGATTGGAGAAAATCTGTTTATTGTATATATTCTTTTTGGAACTGACTTATATACAGTATGCATGCAATTCCCAGTCAAAAAATAAAGTTACAAAATGCAGGCTTGGAAATATTTAATAGCAGACAAAATAGAATTCAATATGAAAAGCATTATATGAGACAAAGGCAATTTTCAAAAATTGAAAAAAGAACATTTCACTAAAAATCAGTAATCCTTTATGCACTTAACAATAGCTTCAAAATATATAAAACAAGTACTCTGAGAAATGCAAAATCAACAAATCCACAATTATAGGGAGACTTCAACATACTTCTAGAAAGTGACAAATTAAGTAGACAAATATAACAACTAATACTTACTGGGCACTTCTGAGTGGCATTGAACTATGTGCTTTTCATGCATTATCTAAGGCTACAGACAATGAGAGAGAAATACTATTGTACCTGATAAACAGAATAAACATTTTTTTCAGACATGTACTAGATATTTACTAAAGACCACACATGAGGCACCCACCTCTAAAGAACAATAACAGCAGCAACGACAACCTCCCCAACCCCAGAAAACATGGCTGGCAAGAGTACAATGCAATGAACATTACCACTGATTTGGCAACAGCTCTCATGAAGAATAATTTGGCATTATTTATCATGTGTCCATATTCTTTGATGTAGTAATTGCCTGACAATCCTCGATAAATTCAAAATATGGAGAAAGAATAAAAAATATAAGAACATTAGAAATGCAAATATTCAATGAAAGGGAATGGTGAAGTATGGTACAACCATTCAGGAGAGTATATCCTGCTATCAAGGTAACATATATAGAGATGAGGTAATAATGGGACAACCCTTGAGATATTTAACAAAAAAACAAGAAAAAATGACACTAAATTATGTATATTTTATATAAGCCAAACCACCTTTCATGGAAAAAAAACAGGAAAATCTACAATTTAGGCAGTGTTTTTTAACTTTCCATTTCATCATTATGTATGCCAAGAAATATACATCTGCTGAAGTTACATGATCTTTGCATAATAGCAACTACAAATAATCTAAAAAAGAGAACAGATAAATCTGAATCCACCCGAAGTTCTGAGTTCACTACCATGGCAGCTGCTTTCCTCTCAGTCATTTGGCAGTTACGATACAGTGTAAGAGTGACTATATTTAGGCAAGTCAAAAATCCTTGTTTTAGGCTTCCTAAATTGGAGCCAAATTTGGTCTCTACGGTAGCTCTCCGATGTAAGAGTACTGTGCGTACTGCACTGACTCCGAGACAAGTTGAAAACCTGAAAATTTGCCATTTCTATCAGTTTATGTACAAACTCTTACCTGCTGATTAATGCTTACAGTTTGGCATTTTAAGGGATAAAACTGAAGCAAGTTTTGGGAGGTAAAAAAGTATTTTAAAAAATTCCTTAAAATCAAACATTTATGTAAACATTCTTTTTAAAAAACAGGTCCAAAAGACCCAGCCCACATCAGCTTTGAAGTTGTACCAAGCTTTAAGTCTACTTCATGCCAATGAACTGCTGCTCAGCAGGGGCTGGTTTTGTCTTCTGAGGAATGATAGCCGCGTTTTGGTGTACACAAGAGAGCTGGATGGCATAGACAGAGTCTTTATTGTGGTTCTGAATTTTGGAGAATCAACACTGCTGAATCTACAGGAAATGATTTCAGGACTCCCCGTAAGACTGAGCATAAAATTAAGTACCAATTCTGCCTCCACAGGCAGCCAGGTTGATACGAGAGGCATTTTTCTTGAGAGGGGAGAGGGAGTCCTCCTTGAACACAAAATGAAGAACCTCCTTCACCGCCAAACAGCTTTCAGAGACAGATGTTTCATCTCCAGTCGAGCATGCTACTCCAGCGCATTAGACATACTGTACAGCTCCTGTTAGGCAGCTGAGAGGACGGAGACGCGGCACCCGCAGCACTGTAAGCATTAGCAGCGTGCGGCTAGGGCAGCGCTGGGAATGGCCATTAGGTGCTTCTGTAGATTCAGTTACACTGTTAGGAAAGCTTCCCAAATCTTTTCAAAGAATAATAAATGTTTCAAAGGAAATGACTAATTGTAGAAACTTGTAACTTTATCAATAGCATCAATATGTGATGAACAGAACACTTTAAGACCCCAGATTATTTGAAAGCTCTACTGAATTTTAATGTGAACCTTCTTCCTTAAAATACAGTCATGGAAACTGGAGAATGACTCACTGCCACAGTATCTAAAAATGCTCACGGGCACAAAGGCACGACATTGATTTGTAAACGTCAAAGAAAATCCTAGTAAAATAGGCACAAAACAAAGACATTCCGATTGGAAGGGAGGCCCAGGGGTGGGCTTGTCCCCAACCCTTTCCTCGCCTCCTTCTCCATGCTTCTGAGGAGCATGGGTGAACCTGCCTAGGTTGAGTGACATCAATGTGCATCAATGGAGAGCACAGGATAAGCCAGTGAGACCAGACTAAGCAAAATCCGGATGGAGAAGCAAGTTTTTAAAAATTATTTAATAACTGAAAAAAAAATCTCACTTTTGCTAATCTAAGTGGAAATAAGACTATAAAATATTTCAGTGTGTTTTCAACCTCCAACTGAATGTGGCATTTCAGAATTTTAGGTATTTCTTAAGATCCTCGAAAACACGGGTGCTGTCAAGTCCAAGTTCCTCATACAGGAATTTAATTTGGGCTGTAATCTAAAAGAAACATTTAAAAAATTAGAATGGTTTTGTGGTAAAACTCCAGCATTCAAGTTTTTCTTCTTCCCAAATTCACCTAACCCCAAAGCCAGCAATTTATAAGAGTATTTTATTTAGGGCAGCGTGAAAAGGCTCTAACAATTAAGATTCAGCCACACACTTTCTTTAACAGAGAGCTCATGACCAAATATGAGAGTGCCTTTTCTCTGGACTGATTTAGTGTCCCTCTCCTCCCTCCTGGGTCTCGGCCACAGAACCCTGTGAAAATGTAAATACAACACAGCTCTACCTGGGACGCCTCAGCCGGGGGAACTCGGTAACATACCTTTTTGTGAGAATCCTCAATCACATGATTGCCTCCAGGCTGAATATCTAAAATAATATTCGGGGCCTGATAGCCTGAAAAAGTTAAGGTATAAAACAATTAGAAGGTCTTGCAAAGACTGGGACCCATTTCTTCCCTCTCCTCTTGGATACTCTGTTCAAAGACTAGCAAAGAAACCACCATTAGCAGCAGTGACAAGGAGATGGGAGGCGCCCGGGAGTAGAAGACCCGCTTCTGACCCGGAAAGCTGGAGGCGGCGGCTGGTGGCTGAGGAAGCCACGTGAACAGACGGTGGCAGCACGCCGGCAAGGCTGTGACCGAGGAGGGAGTCCATCAGCCATATAGCAGCTGAGTCTGGTTACTGGAAACACCAGCCACAGCAATGCATGACGTGAGGACGGGGGCTGAGGACAGGGACACTGTCTGACTTGTATGTGGGTTCCTGCCACTGTTGAACCCAGAATGTCCTGATGTACAGTTCCAAGGCAAAAAGGAAGCGGTCTTATCTAATGAAAGATCAACAGGAAACTGAAGCAGCTAGTTGAGGCATTGAAGCCCTAAAGGAAAAAAACCTCAATCTGTCTGAGAGATTCCTAGGAAAAATGATTAGTAAATATTGCTAAATGATTATGATCTAAATTAGTGCATCTAAACATTATATACGATCATTAAATTTATATTTTTGTCCTGCTTACTGTTTTAATATTGTCCTTTGAAAACGAGGTGAGGTGGTTAGCACTGTATGTACTCCCACTGGGGAGTCAACATAGGATCACAATTACTTGCTCTAAATAGGGCCACAAGTTGCTCTGAGCATGAACCGTGTTACTCCGAGCAGCGTGCTGGGGCACCAGTCACTTAGCCATGCTCCCTGCACCCAGTCTCCCACCTTCACCCATGTCCTTGGCGTGCTCCGCGACAGCTTCCTTGAGCTTCTCGGTGTAGTTTATGATTCCTTTCAGAGGTACACGCTCGTCATTTTCATAAGCTGTGATGTGAATTGAAGGATAATGCTGGAAGAAAACAGATGTAGGGTTTACTCATGGTTTCTTACAGAGTGGGGAAAATAATTACCTCCAGTTTTCCCCCCAGGTGCTAAGTGTTTTCTCATTTAATATTCTTAAGAGAGCCTCTGCAATTGTAGTACTTGAGTGCTTGTTACCTGGAATAGCCTTTTCTTGACTAGGGAGACCATGACAGGACATAATTTACTAATTAATATCCTGAGGCATTACGCTGAAACAAACATGAAGCATGAGCGGGGGCGGGGCTGAGGATGTTGGCCTCTGTGAGCAGAAACACTTCTACAGCTCTGCTGCTCTCCCCTCAACTCAGGTTTAGGATCCTTCTCATTGGGTATCTTCTCCATCACTTCAGGACAACTTTTGTTTAAAAATTCAGTTATCTATTTAAAAGGCAGAGCCACAGAGAGGCAGGGGCAGCAGCAGAGAGAAAGAGGTCTTACATCCGCAGGCCCACTCCCCAAATGGCCACAACAGCTGGAGCTGCACCGATCTGAGGCCAGGAGCCCCCTCCAGGTCTCGCACATGGGTGCTGGGGCCCAAGGACCTGGGCCATCTTCCATTGCCTTCCCAGACACATCAGCAGGGAGCTGGACTGGAAGTGAGCAGCCAGGACTCGAACCAGCGCCCATATGGGATGCCAGTACTACAGGCTGGGGCTCTAACACTCTGCGCCACAGTGCTGGCCCCAGGATAACATATTATAACCATCTTTCACTACCTGAGGCTTAATATTTTGATAGGGACAGTAACGTTTTATGTAGTTCTTATGTTTTTCATCAGATGAAGGATTGCCCCATTCTTCTAATTCTTCTAATGTCAGAGGAAGTGTGGTGTCCATCATGGTGTTGAGAACATCCATGAAAGGTGCCTAAAAAAAATCCAAAGAAATTTATACTTTAGGAAAGAAGCTGGTACAGTGAGTTTCAGAAATATACTTCATGCATATACATACTGATGTGAGAGAACACAGCTCAGGTACCCAATACAGAGTCTTAGGAGCCAGACTAGCTACTTAGACAACTGGCTTTTAATGTATTCAGATTCCTTAACTGACATCTTTGTAACAAGAAATGGTTTGTCTTCTAATTTTACAATTTTTGTTTCCAATTTGGTACCTTCTGATCTCAATATATTTAAAGACTTATTTTATTTATTTGAAAGGCAGAGTTAAAGAGAAGGAGAGGGAGATATTCCATCTGCTAGTTCACTCCCCAAATGGCAGCAAGAATGGAAACAGGGCTTTGAAGAGATCTACACACATGTTTATAGTAGCATTGTTCACAATAGCTAAAAGGTAGAAGCAACTCAAATATCCACCAATGGATGCAAAATAATGAAATGTAAGGTATATATACAATAGAACATTATTTAGCCTTGAAAAGAAATGGCAGTCTGACACATACTATACTATGGCTGAGCCTCATAGATATAATCCAAGTGAAAGAAGGCAGTTACACACAAAAGACAAATTCTAATGATCCCTTTTATATGAGATACCTAGAGCAGTCACATTCAAAAAAGGGGGGAGGCTTCCAGGGACTTGGGAAGAAGAGCAGAGTTGTTTATTGGGCAGAGTTTCAATTCTACAAGATAAAAGTCATGTCTGGAGATGGCACAGCAACGTGAATGGATCTCAACACCAGTGAACTATGTGATTCAAAATGATGGTAAATTCTGTATTATTTTTGCCCCAATTAAAAATTTAAAATATGGGAAAAGGCCCTAATAACAGGGGTAAACTCTTCCTCACCAGTTGCACATTTTACATCAAAGGTAATAAATGCTAACTGAATAAAATCTGGGGAATAACCAAGGTGAATGAAGAGAAAACCACCCAGTGACTCATAACCAGTGTTGAAATATTTAGTAGAATGGGGTCTGCATTTTTCATGAAGCCTGAAATTGTGAACATGCTCTTCAGCTTTCCTGCATGTTACCATTCACTTAGCATTATGGTGAGCACCTGTAATTCCTTTTGGCTGCCTTGCATCTAAGCTGCTTTTTTGCATTTGCAAAACCCCCAACCTACTGGACAGAGCCTGCCTCTCACTTCAGGTAGTAGATGCCACCAAGTCCCCATCTCTGTTTACTCTGCAGCTTGGGAGCAGCTCCATGACTAAGTCTGCTAGTCAGACATGTGTGCTCCAAATTTTGAATGACAAGTTAGTGATTCAAAGTAGAGACTGTGCCATGGCTATGTCCAGTTTCTTTCTTTTTTTTAAAGATTTATTTACTTTTCACTTGAGAGAGTTAGAGAGAGGAGAGAAGAGAGAGGGAGAGGAGGGAGAGGAGAGAGAGAGGAGAGAGGGGAGAGAGAGAGGTCTTCCTTCTGAGGGTTCAATCCCCAAATGGCCTCAACGGCTGGGACTGCGTCAATCCGGAGCCAGGAGCTTCCTCCAGGTCTCCCATGTGGGTGCAGGGCCCAAGGACTTGGGCTATCCTCCACTGCTATCCCAGGCCATAGCAGAGAGCTGGATTGGAAGTGCAGCAGCTGGGACTAGAACCAGCGCCCATATGGGATGCTGGCGCTTCAGGCCAGGGCGTTAACCCGCTGTGCCACAGCGCCAGCCCCATATGTCCAGTTTCTAAAAGCAGGACTAGTAGCAGTGTGAGGTCTTCTGTGCTCAGAAGGGGTGGTGCTGATAGATTCATTGGGCTACTTCCATGTTTCTGGCTGTGCGGTCTCTAACAGTAGTTCTGAACATATTGTTATATTTTTCATTATTTCCTAGAAGTCAAGATTGGTTGCATTTTTTTTACTGTAATAATTCTTTCATTATTATCTTTGTGCAGAGATTTTTCCTGTATCCCAAGTATTTCTATTTTTTTAAAAACAGATTGACGAGTTAGGGTTAAAACTTACTTTACAAGCACTAACTCTCACCCTCAAAATAAAAAAAAATTACCTGAAAATAATTTCTGTACCATCCCAGGCATCACTTTCCAGTGTCTAAGTAGGAAGCAGGAGGACAGAAGTGATATCAGCTGCTTCATCATACTTCATAATTTTCAAAAAAGTCTAGAACATTTTCAGAACAGGATATTTCAATCCAAGTACAAGAAAACTATACCTAAAAGACCATGAATACAATGGAGTATTTAAAAGCAGCCCTCAAGGTCTGGCACTGTGGTGCAGTAGGTTAAGTCACCACATGCAATGTCGGCATCCCATATGGGCGCTGATTCAAGTCCCAGCTGCTTCACTTCTGATCCAGCTGCCTGCTAATGTGCCTGGGAAGGCAGAAGAAGATGGCTCAAGTCCTTGGGCCCCTGCACCCATGTGGGAGACCCGAAAGAAGCTCCTGACTTTGGATCAGCCCAGTTCTGGCTGTTGCGCCATTTGGGGAGTGAACTGGCAGATGGAAGATCTCTCTCTCTCTGTCCCGCTCTCTCCTTCTCCCTAACTCTGCCTTTCAAATAAATAATCTTTTTTTAAAATATTTTTATTTATTTATTTGAGAGGTAGAGTTACAGACAGTGAGAGGGAGAGACAGAGAGAAAGGTCTTCCTTCTGTTGGTTCACTCCCCAAATGGCCGCAATAGCCGGAGTTGCGCCGATCCAAAGCCAGGAGCTTTTTCCTGGTCTCCCACGCGGGTGCAGGGGCCCAAGGACTTGCACCATCTTCTACTGCTATCCCAGGCCACAGCAGAGAGCTGGACTGGAAGAGGAGCAGCCGGGACTAAAACTAGCGCCCATATGGCATGCTGGCACCGCAGGCAGAGGATTAACCCACTGTGTCACGGTGCTGGCCCCAAATAAATCAATCTTTAAAAAAATAAAATGTCCTTCAATCCAGGACTGAAATGTTGATGGGCAGAAGTGAGAGGATGCAGGGCACTCCAGAGTCACAGCGTGACCTATCTGCCTTCCTGAACTGCTGAGTCACGCAGGCGGCATCTCTTTTCTACCAATTCTGAATGCACTTACAAATAAAAGAATCCCATCAATGGGAACAGCCACATATTACAGTGTAAATATTTAAAAATTAATAAGGGACATGCTCAAAGAATAAAAAGTTGGATTAAAATTATTTTAGAAGGGGTGTGATGGGTGTACAGCACAGTAGTTCAGATGCGGGTGCCCACATCCCATATCAGAGCGACTTTAGCTCAGCTTCCTGCCAGTGCACACCCTGGGGGGGCAGGAGGTGATGGCCCCAATACTTGGGTCCCTCCATCCATGTGGGAGCCTAGAAGTTCGGGATTGTTGGTTTTGGTCAGGCTCAGCTCCAGCTGTTCTGAGTATTTGGGGAGTGACCCGGTAGAAGGAAGATCTCTATTTCTCAGCCTTTCAAATAAAGGTAAGTAAAAATTAAAATAATGTAAGAAATTTTCGTAGAGCTACAATTCTGTGTTTAAAACGTAAAAGCTTTGTTATACTCCTATGCCATAGTAAAACTGTGAAAGAAATGTTCTTCTTAGAGAAGCCCATTGCTTCACACTTCTCCCATTCTGAAAGCAGTAGAGAACAGTGTACTTACCTCCAAAGTCACAGCTCTGAGGAGCTCCGGATCAGAATTGCACAATGCTCCCACAAGCACCCCTCCAGCACTGAAAGCAGTCAAGGTTGTTAGGCTTGGCTGAGAAAAGCCTTGGCTATGAAGCGTCTTAATGCAAGCCTCTAAGTCAGCCAGGCCATTGAGCTTTTTAGTTAGGCGGCCATCAGCATGCCACTGGAGGCCTAGCTCACCACCACCCCTGAAATTAAAGGGCAAAAAAGTTTCAGTGGAAAATAAAAATGTTAATGATGTAGGTCAGGTTGGCAAACTATACAAAAAACAACAAATACGCAACAGAGACTATCTATGGCCTGCGAAACCTGAAACGTTTACAGTCTGGTTCCTTAAGAGAAGAAACTGCCAATCTCTGATACAGAGAATCGAAATTTGATTAAACAAAGAACCTGCCTACAATCCCTATCAGGGATTGTGCTAAGGATAGACCTTAAAAATAAAAGCAAGCAGAGGCTGGTGCTGTGGCGTAGTGGGTAAAGCCACAGGCCTGCAGTGCCGGCATCCCATGTGGGCACTGGTTTGAGTCCCAGCTGCTCTACTTGGATCCAGCTCTCTGCTATGGCCTGGGAAAGCAGTGAAGGATGACCCAAGTGCTTGGGCCCCTGCACTTGTGTGGGAGACCCAGAGGAAGCTCCTGGCTCCTGGCTTCAGATGGGCTCAGATCCAGCCATTGCGGCCATCTGGGGAGTGAACCAGTGGATGGAAGACCTTTCTCTCTCTGCCTCTCTGTAACTCTGTCTTTCAAATAAATAAATACATAAACCTTAAAAAAAAATAAAACAAGCAAACATTCCCTGCCTTGGAGAAGTTCATAATTTTTGGGGGAAAGAAAATAAGGTAGGTACTTCATGTACAGAAGAAAAGCAAAGAACCTTCTCCACTGTCAGGTTAAGGATAGGTGCCCATGAGTCAGAAGCAAACATGCTTACAGAGAGGATACCTAGGCTGCGCTGCAGAACAGTTTCCAGAAGGCAAGGAGAGGGATAAATCAGATACAGAGAAGACATAGCATGTCCAAGGGCACGGAGGTGACAGGGTCTGCCATCAGAAAGGACGTATGGCAGACTTCACTGCAGATAAGCCAGGGCATGGGAGTACTCGCATCTAAGAAAGTCAGACTTTGTTCTTAAGACAGGCAGGTGAAGAAGGATTTTAAGCAGAAAATCATACTGTGTCTTGAAAGCAAGTAAAATAAAATGGAATCTGGCTTAACGGGCTATTTAAGAAAACACATGAACTCAGGAGAATTAAATGGAAATAACATAATTTAACTAAGTACATACAGAAACTGGTATAACTATTCAAAGAATCCTAAAAATCTACCCTGCTCCTTTATGATCAACTGATTTGTTACTGCATCAGGTTCTATAAGCACAGGTTCAAGAACACATAAATCATCAATACAAGTGAGAACATGGTCTTTGCTCCCCAGTATACTGTATTTGGGATATCTGTCACAATACTCTAGCAATCACATGCCAGATAAAACGTGCTGACTCACCGAACATGGCAGTAGGCTAATATCCATCCGTCATCCACCAAAACCCGCCTCTCAGGTCTGAAATTCATTTTCAAATCCATCCCATAAGCTCCATACACATGAACCAAGAGAGGTTTCTGCTGCAAATCCTCGGAGTCTGTTTTGTGGAAAACAGTCATTGGCACTAATTTTCCATCCTGGAAATGAATTATGATGCACGTAAAGAAGAGGCACTGACAGCAGTCTTTTCTGCAATTTAAAATACAAAGCGGTACACTTTCCCCCTTAGGTACTCTGTTTGATACTGAGCGTAAATGTGGTTTAAGATAAAGCAGTCACGGTAGTCTTTGCTTTTAAGCCACCTTGCTAACCTACAGTATTCATCAGAAAAGGAGCAAGACCGGCTTGAAAACATCTTATTAACATGCAGCTTTTAATGACAATAAAGCGAGTTCTTCACCCCCTACTAGTACTGTAATTTTTTTTTCTCTTGTCAAGCCAAAATACCCATCAAGGTTAAAATCTGAGTACAGAATTCTTCCTAAGGCTAGGGTTAGATATCGGCATTTCTCATGCTGGAATGCTGGCAGTGATGACAAAGGCGTCTTAACCAGCTCAGTTCTGTTCTTTACAGTCCTAGTTCTCTACCATTAGGATCTGAAATCTACTTTACTGGTATCTACTTTTATCCCATTCAGGAGCCTATTTCATTTTACCTAAACTTTACTGAAAAGTAGTTTAAGTCTTATAAGCTTTAACACTTAAATTACCTTTAGGTCCTATAATCATCCCCCAATGTTGCTTAAATGCATTAACCCAGCTGATTAGAACTAGGCACTGTCTGGACAGATTTCAATTAACCTGAACTACTTGTGATCTTCCTTTCAGAAAAAAAGGATACAGAAATTGGTTTCCATTCAGATTAAAGAAACTAATAAAACAGTATGAGTTTACATAAGGAAAATAATGTAACCAAATTGTACTATTTTTCTGTTCTTATATTTTGTTGACAAAAATCTAGAAAGTGATAACAGAGTGGTTAACAATGATTTTTTTAATAAAGATTTTTATTTACTTGAGAGGGAGAATTATAGAGAGAGAGAGGGAAATACAGAGAGAAAGGTCTTCCATCCGCTGGTTCACTCTCCAAATGGCAGCAACGGCTGGAGGGGCTGATCCAAACCCAGAAGCTTCTTCTGGGTCTCCCACATGGGTATGGGGGACCAAGCACTTGGACTATCTTCCACTGCTCTTCCAGGCTACAGCAGAGAGCTGGGTTGGAAGAGGAGCAGCCGGGATACAAACTGGCGCCCATATGGGATGCCGATGCTGCAGGCAGAGGCTTAGCCTACTACACCACAGTGCCAGCCCAAACAATGATTTAAAAAAAAGTTTCATTTTCACCCACTTGAAAGGCACAATCACAAGAGAGTGAGAGAGAGAGAGAGGACATCTTTCATCTACCGGTTCATTCCCCAAATGCTTACAACAGCCAGCACTGGGCCAGGCTAAAGCCAGGAGCCCAGAATTTAATCCAGGTCTCCCTGGATTGGCAGGGTTCCAAGCACTTCAGTCCCCTTCTGCTGCTTCCCAGGATGAACTGGCACTCCAACATGGGATGCTGTGTTGCAAGGGGAAGCTTAACCCATTGTGCCACGATGCCTGCCTCAACAACAATTACTTCTAAGAGCTATAGTAAATAGGACTGAAAAGCCATTGAAACTCTCCATTCTGTATTTCCGCATTTGTTCTAACAAGCATATACTGCTTTTGTAATATGAATATTTAACGAATTAAAAGGAAAGAAGGGCCACATTGTAGTTCATTCTTTGTTAGCAGAACGAAATGATCTGATATATATGAAGGTCTGAAAATTCCTTAAATACAAGGCTACAGTTTATGTATTAATTTGTTTCATAGTCACACAAATTTATAACCTCTATTTATTGAGTATACCTGGAATATGGTATATTATTCCCTTTCTACTTCTCATCTTACTCTATTCCTTTCTCTGCCAGTCACCATTATATTCTGGCCATTATAGTCTCCTTCATACTTCTTTATTTTTTTAAAGATTTTATTTATTTATTTGAGAGGCAGAGTTACAGACAGTGAGAGGGAAAGAGAAAAGTTCTTCCATCTGCTGGTTCACTCCCCAAATGGCCGCAACGGCCAGAGCTGAGTTGATCTGAAGCCAGGAGCTTCTTTCCCGGTCTCCCACACAGGTGCAGGGGCCCCTAGCACCTGGGCCATCTTCTACTGCCTTCCCAGGCCACAGCAGAGAGCTGGATAGGAAGAGGAGCAGCTGGGACTCAAATAGGCACCTATATGGGATGCGGGCACCACAGGTAGAGGATTAACCTACTATGCCGCAGCGCCAGCCTCTCCTTCATACTTCTGGAATTATATCTTTTCTTGCCCCAGTTCAATCACTCTCCATAAAGTGAAATCCCCTGCTTCCTTTTGGCTTACTCATGATCATCTTAGAGGTCCTGGCTGAGTCATCACTTCCGCAGACGCGTTCCTGCCCTCTCCAGACCCGGTGAGGGCGCATCGCCATGTTTGCGCTGCGCCCCAAGCATCTACCTTAGCTGCAGTCAGTGCACTCGTAGCGACTTCTTCAGCATCTGTCATCTCCTCTGCTAGTCCCACGCTGAGGGCAGCGACTGCGTAGTCTCGTTCACTCTGCTCAGCTGCTCACCACCTTCACAATTTTCACAACTGCACACCAACTCTGACTAACCTTTTCTTTAACCCAACATTCAAAATTCAAACATAAGCAACTTGTGAAATCAAGGACCTGCTGTGCTAGTATAAATTTTGTAAGCCAAGTCAAAATAAACACATGGGGGCAGGCATTTGGCAGTGACTAGACGCTGCTTAGGCTGCCTGCATTCCTTATTGGAGTGTCCGGGCTCCAGTCTTGGTTTTGCTTCTGTTTCCAACTTCTTGCTAATACACATCCTGGGAGGTGAGGCAGTGATGGCTCATATACTTGGGTTCCTGTCATCCATGTGGGAGATGTGGATGGAGTTCAGGGCTCCAAACCCTGGCTTAAACTTGACTCAGCCCTGGCTGTTGTAGGCATTTAAGAAGTGAACCAGCAAATGCAAGATCTTTGTCTATGTCTCTATGCCATTCAAATAAATTTAAAAATTAAAAAAAAAGATGCTTACCTCTTGTAATAAATAAGTACATGAACAAATACATGCATATTAAATAAAAAAAATCTATGTATTGCCTAAAATCATTTGAGTTTATTATGGTAGCAGGGCTCTTCTTTGGGAAACTGTGCTAAAGTAATCCCAGCAGCTGTTCAGTATCTGGCAAACAGTATGCTTTCAGTAAGTGAGAGGTGAAAGTGGAGGTTACAAAGACATACCTTGCTTTTGGCCTCTAGACGTAAAACACGACTAGTCTTTGTGATGGGGTCTTCATGTCCAGTTTCCTCAAACAGTTTGCCTTCTGCAAACTTATACGTATAATATTTTGGGGGACGTATTGGAGAGCAAAGCTGAAAGGGGCAGTTCTTTGGATCAGAATTTGTATCCATGATGAATCCACAGGCCCAAGGAGGGAGCTGAAGAAATAAGAAGAGTTATTTTTACTTTTTAGCCACTAAATATCATTCATCAATTTCTGAATTTGTTCCAAAAAATAGCTGATGGGCACACCTAGTTTACTTTCTGTTACCACATGCTACCTCATTTAAGAATTCTTCTTTACCACAAAATAAATTTCAAATAAAAACAAGTAAAAGTCTACATTAGTTATCAATACAATAAAGAACAAGTATAGGAAATGGTTTATCATAGTCCTAGACTTACATGAAACCACTTTAACATAAAAGCCTACTTTGGGGTATATACCTGGGAAATGAAGTAGTAAAATGTTAAGAATAAGAGCACAAATAGGGCAGCCCTTATGGTACAGCAGGTTAAACCAGAGCTTAGGACCCCTACATCTTGTATCAGACTGCCTGGTTCAAGTCCTGGCTGTCCCACTTCTGATCCAGCTTCCTGCTAATGTACATACACTCTGGGAGGTAGCAAAGGATAGCTCAAGTAATTGGATCCCTGCCACCCACGTAGGAGACCCTGATGGAGTTCTGGGCTCCTGGTTTTAGCCTAAACCCAGCTGTTGCAGTGTGGGTGTATTTTTAAATAATTTACTCACCAGGCCTTACCCTGCTGCCTGGATAGCCATGGTGATGAGAGTTGTTATTGCAGGGCTACAAATGGGGCTCAGAAGCAATAAAGCATTTAAAATTCATTTCTAACTTTAGCTCCCAGGCTAACCATTGTGCAGAACAAAACCTTTCCTGGCACATCTACTCTGAGAGAATCAGCTTTTATTATATAGAATCAGCTATTAGAAAAAAGGACAGGAATCAAAGTTTATTCTCTTAGAGCAGCAGGGTCCAGCTTCAAGCCTTCCACTAACATCCCTCTTACACCTTTTAAAGAACTTGGTTGACAGAGTGTTAGAAATGGTACTCAGAGTCAGAACATTGAGAGAAAATTGCTGTTCTTGTCCTGGGTAATTGTAGAAAGAGCAAATTCCTAGGAAAATCAGAGTCTTGGCACAGCAACACCAATGGTGGTCACTACTGGAAAAGGCTAGATGGGGGATGTATGCACGAACAGCACGCCATTTAACATGCGAAAACTACAGCCCAAGAATTTATGCTCACTGAGAAGATCTCCCTGAATCAATCCAAAGGCTGTGTACGGATACACATTTGCAATGTGTCTCGATGAATTCCTGATTCAGTCTCTCAAATTGAAGACTGCCTTAAAGTATGGTTTGTCTATTTAAATGCAAGCTACAACAGAAGGAAACATAAAAGCTGCAGGAATCTGGTAACGTGACTGCAAGTGAGCAAACTGAGATCAGAGGGGGGGAGAAAGCAGCACGGCCACAAACGCTGGGACAGGCACCAGTGCGAGGGCCTGAGGTTACAAAGTCCTTCAGTCCCCAGATGCACAGGTTTTCTGCTTTTTGGAGAGACTTTAGGACAGCTTCCATGTGACCCATGTAGTAGACTGTCATGGCTTTAGACTAAGTGGTTCCAATATATCAAAAAGTCTTGGGGCCGGCGCCGCGGCTCACTAGGCTAATCCTCCGCCTTGCAGTGCCGGCACCCCGAGTTCTAGTCCCGGTCGGGGCGCCAGATTCTGTCCCGGCTGCCCCTCTTCCAGGCCAGCTCTCTGCTGTGGCCCAGGAGTGCAGTGGAGGATGGCCCAAGTGCTTGGGCCCTGCACCCCATGGGAGACCAGGAGAAGCACCTGGCTCCTGGCTTCAGATCAGTGCGATGCGCCGGCCGCGGCGGTCATTGGAGGGTGAACCAACGGCAAAGGAAGACCTTTCTCTCTGTCTCTCTCTCTCTCTGTCCACTCTGCCTGTCAAAAAAAAAAAAAAAAAAAAAGTCTTGGGTGTCTTGCTAAAACTAATGAAACCAAAGTGAAACCTTTCATCAAAATAAAACCTGTAACAAGGCTATGGACTTTTACAAACTTTCCCAGTAGAGGTGGAACTAAGTATTAACTATCTCAAGGATATCTTAAGCTGCATTTCATATTGCAATAAACCTGCAATGTTTATGTATATGTTCCTGGGTTGTGACTGAGACAGGCCAGATGATAGGTGGCCACTCCTTAGATACCTGGCAGAAACAGGTTCAGCTTTAGCACCTACCAGCACACTACCGTAATTGCACTGAAAGGAGAAGACAAAATATGCTGGAAGAAAACAAGCCTGGGTCTGCGGAATTCTCCAAATAAGATTTCTGAGAACAAAGAGATAAAAAAAAAAAAATCCCCAATCTGATTAAATTAAATATAACGTCTTTTTTGCGGAATAAAAAACAGCCCTCTAGAAAATACTGATGACAGGTGAAGAAAGGAAGCAGGTCTATGAAGGGTTTTACATTTCTATTGCCAAGACTGAGTTGAGTCTAAATAGACCTTTTAGTGATTACATTTTAGTGTTACATATAGATTTTAGTGTTACATATAGAAACACTTTACAACACAATTTGGTTCTTGTGTATCACATTATCTACAGATTTTAATCAGTGTTATTCAGGTTCATAAAAAGGGTCAGGATCTATAAAATTCTCTTTAAATAGCACCTGGTACATAAACAATAGGTGATAGGTGCTACAGTTTGGCCAAGAGTCGGGAAATCAAGAGATATGGAATAAATCAGGATATTATGTTTGTGCTAATGGAAATAAAAACAATGGAAAGGGATGCAAATTTTTGAAGTAGGAATATTTATAAGAAATATAAAAGGTCACATTTACTTAGAAGTCAAATCTCATTATAGTAAAATCCACACACATCTCTAATTTTCTTGACATGAAATTTTGTGGCAATAAATGAACTACTAGAAACTCTAGGCCGGTGCCGCGGCTCACTAGGCTAATCCTCCGCCTGCGGCACCAGCACCCTGGGTTCTAGTCCCGGTTGGGGCACCAGATTCTGTCCCGGTTGCTCCTCTTCCACTCCAGCTCTCTGCTGTGGCCCAGGAAGGCAGTGGAGGTTGGCCCAAGTGCTTGGGCCCTGCACCCCCATGGGAGACCAAGAGGATGCACCTGGCTCCCAGCTTCAGATTGGCGCAGTGCACCGGCTGCGGTGGCCATTTTGGGGGGTGAACCAACGGAAAAAGGAAGACCTTTCTCTCTGTCTAACTCTGCCTGTAAAAACAAAACAAAACAAAACAAAACAAAACAAACAAACAAACACAACTATATCCTGGGGCTGGCACTGTGGTGCAGTAGCTTAATCATCCACCTGTGGGGCTGGCATTTCATATGGGCACCGTTTCTAGTCCTGGCCGCTCCTCTTCTGATCCATCTATGGCCTGGGAAAGCAGTGGAAGATGACCCAAGTGCTTGGGCCCCTGCACCCATGTGGGAGACCCAGAAGAAGCTCCTGGCTCCTGGCTCTGGATTGGCTCAGCTCTGGTCATTGTGGCCATTTGAGGAGGGAACCAGTGAATGGAAGACCTTTCTGTCTCATCCTTTCACTGTCTGTAACTCTACTTCTCAAAAAAATAAAATAATCTTAAAAAAAAAAAAAGCTTAAATTCTATATCCCTTCCCCATCCCTATTTACACCTACTGTAATAGAATAGATGTTCTGCCAGTTTCCAATCTGAAGATGTCTGCCTCTGGCATCAATTAGCAAGTGAAAAGTAATACTCTGACTCTAGCAGATGGAAGCAATAAGAAAACCCCTGGAGTTAATTGCCAGTTGTGTTTTCGAACACCTACATAGTCTTTGAGACTAGCCACCACATTTGGTAATTTGACTTTAAGTAGCAGCTGGGAAGCCTGACTTGTTTTACTTCCTTATTACTTGTTACTTATACCGATATCACACTCTTGAAACTTATGTCCCCGTCCCTTACCGCTTTCCACTTCAGTCTGCTCTAATATGGCTGCCTGATAAGCTCAGGAAGAAGAGAGCTGTATCTGAGACTTCTGCTCAAAACTTCCAATGTTTCTCTTCATAATTTGTGCATAAATCTCCCAATCAACCAATGTCAAATCACAGCTTCCTCCCCCTGAAATGTAGTTTTAATAATACAGAACTATTAGCAGCTCCCTGACCTCTTTCTCCACTCCAGTTTACAGCTGTTTGATGGCTTCCTCATTCTAGTATACCATACCCTTCCCCACCTGCCAAAATCCTACTCATTCTCTGATTTATCTCAAATTCAAATTCAACTTACTCTATAAAAGTTTTGTTGAACTTGCTTCCTTTGATCCCCACAGCACATTTAAATTTGGTCACCACTTATTTAAATCCACCTCATAGTAGTCTAATATCACAACACTAGTCTAATTTCATGATAAAGTGGATCCTCTTTGCTAATATACCAGAATACTAGTTTACTAGGTTTACTGACTGTATCCTCCTGACGGCCAGATATTCTGTCCTATTATCTTTCTATTCTGTAATTTCCAACATGATATTTTACATACAGAAGTTCAAAAACAGCAACAGAGCTGACTGGCCTGCACTGTTAACAGGTGTTTTGACAACGCTGGAGTTAGGGAGGTACAAGTGGTCTGTGTTGCTTGCTGGTCAACTGCCTCAATAATTTCTTCCAAATCAAGCAAAATGAAGCCCTTCCTCTTCCCTTTGTTGCCTGCTATGTTAACTCACAAGTAAATGCTGCCTTAAAACTGGACAATGAGGGGGGCAGGCACTATGGTGTAGTGGGTAAAGCTGCTGCCTGCATGCCAACATCCCATATGGGCACCGGTTTGAGTCCTGGCTGCTCCACTTCTGATCCAGCTCTCTGCTATGGCCTGGGAAAGCAGTAGAAGATGGCCCAAGTCCTTGGGCTCCTGCACCTGCGTGGGAGACCTGGAAGATGCTCCTGGCTTCAGATCAGCGCAGCTCCAGCCGTTGCAGCTAACTGGGGAGTGAACCAGCAGGTGGAAGATCTCTCTTACTCTCTGCCTCTCCTTCTCTGACTTTCAAAAAATAAATATTTCAAACAACAACAACAAAAACCTGGGCAATGAGGCTGGTGACATGACACAGTGGGTTAGGCCACCATCTGCGACAACGGTATCCGATATGGGTGCCAATTTGTGTCCTTGCTGCCCTACTTCCAATCCAGCTCCCTGCTGATATGCCTGGGAAAACAGTGGAAGATGACCCAATGGGCCCCTGCCACCCATGTGGGAGACCTGGATGGAGTTCCTGGCTTCAGCCTGGTTGGGAAGGCTGTTGTGGCCATTTGCAGAGTGAACTAGTGTTGGAAGATCTCTGTCTCTCCTTCTTTCTCTCTGAAATTCTATCTTTCAAATAAAGAAATCTTAAGAAAAAGCAAAAAAACAACAGCAGCAGCAGCAACAACAAAAAAACCTGGGCAATAAGGTTGCCATTCACCAATTTTAGCAAGTTCACTTGTGATGGCAGATTATCATTTCTAGCACTCACGGTCATTATCAAGTAGCCAGCCTACTAAGCAGACATGCCACCATCACCCTGTGCTGCTGTGGAGACCCTGCCGCCCTCAGACTGAAAGAAACTAAAACTGACTCCTCTTAGCGCCCCTCAAAGGCAGGAAAACTGGCAAAGAGAAGATGATGCAGACACAGCACACAGCACCAGAAACACAATGGGTGCAACTATTATACTTCCTGGGGACGGGAAATGGGTGAGCAGCAGCCAGCAGTTAGGAGCTAGCTGCCAAATGATCTGTATTTATCCCTAAAGTTTTAGAAATATTTGATAAACAGAGACAAGCAGAATGAGAAATATAATAACACCTAACTCAACTTTTCAATTCCAGGCTGTGGGACAGTATTTTCAGTAAAAGTGCATTAAAAGCAAGGTCCTCCAAGTAACTCCGAAATAAACCTTCTAAAGCTAATAGAGAGCCAGTATATTAAATTGTATTTAAATTAAATCCTTAAAAGGATTTTAAAAAAACCTGTATTGCTGGGATGGGTGCTTGGCACAGCAGTTAAGAAAAAGTATACTTCTCTTACTCAGAATCTGATGTTCCTTTGAACTGAAAATATATTTTGATCACAGTACTGTTGTTTGAAAATGAAATATACCTTTAGAGACCGAACTGAATCATCAGCCAGACCAATCACGTTAACGTACAGTAGGTTGCTGTGCTTCAGGAAAAGAACACAGTGATCCTTAAACATGTCCAAGTCCACCACTTTGGTATTTCTCTTCATTGTGAAAAATAAATCCCAGTTCATAATAGCAGGGGTATCAGCTGCTGTTCTCATTAGCTGTGTGAAACAAAGTTAGAGATTTAGGTAACAAATCATGACAGCTACAGCATTTAGAGACAAAACCAATGAAAACTAGACTATACTCGTCATCCCAATTTTATGAAGTGCTGAAGAAAGCAAAGCTGCATCAGGGATGAAGTGTGACCGTCACCTTGTCAACGAGCCCAAGCTAGTCCCCGTGTGTGGAGGCCGTAGGGCCCAGTGTTTAGCTGACATCTGAGGGCACCGACAGCCAGCTAGTCAGCTTACTGAATACATCAGTAAGCCCAGCTGAAGAACCGCCTGAGATCAGTCAACTGCCAACTCACAAAATCACCAGTATATAAGTCTGCTTTTTTAAGTCACTAAATTTGGATAACATATAATCAGAATAATACTTCATTTACTAGCCTTTGGGCATGATTAAAATATGTAGGGGTATTAGCTCTAAGGGAAGAGAGATGGAACTGGTTATGCTCAGGAAGGGAGCAGCAATTTGTACACTTGAACAAAAGCCTACAAAACAACAGACTCTTACAGCAAGAAACGTTAGTGCAGCCCAATTAGGGGGAAGGAGAATCCAGCATTACCTTGAATTCTGTAGGCTCTCCTACATTAGTGAGAATGTACAATTCATCATCTCTGTGTTCAACATAGTAAAGAACCCCATGAATTCGCTTCTGGATAAGTACTGGTGGGTCCCAAGGGCTCAGGCCATCTATCAGCCACACTTCAGAAGTGGTCTTGTTCATAATATTTATGGTGAGGAAACGACTGTCTTTTGTAAGATATAGGAAAACAAAATAGCTGGAGAGAAAGAGAGATACAGAGATATGAGATCCTAGGGAATTTCAAAAGCATGCTACCTTGTTAATGACCATTATCTCAGAGGTGGTCCAGTATACACATTAATTTATAATGCAGGCAGAAAATAAATTTCTTTTAAAAGATTTATTTATTTGAAAGGCACAGTTAGAGAGACAGAGGGAGAGAGACAGAGAAGACCTTCCACCTGCCGGTTCACTCCCCAAATTGCCACAATGGCCAGGGCCGATCTGAAGCCAGGAGCTTCTTTCAGGTCTCCCACATGGGGACAGGGGCCCAAGTACTTGGGCCATCTTCTACTGCTTTCCCAGGTGCAATAGCAGGAGCTGGATCGGAAGTGCAGCAGGTAGGACTTGAACTGGCACCATATGGGATGCTGGTGCCACACATAATGGCTTTCCCTGCTACAAAGCCAGCCACAAAAATAAATTCTTAAAACATTTTTATTTATTTGATAAATATTTCCTATTCACTGGTTCATTTTCCAAATGCCTGCAACATCCTGAGCTGGGCCAAAGCTAGGAACAAGGAACTCAATCTGGATTTCCCATGTGGGTGGTGGGGGCCCAAGTATTTGAGCCATCATCTGAGGCCTCCCAGGATATATTAGCAGGAAGCCAGACAGAAGTGGAGTATCCAGGACTCAAACTGGCACTCCTGTATGACATGGGTGTTGCAAGTGGTGGGTTAACCTGCTGCACCACTGTGCCTGTCCCTAATGATTATTTTTTATTTATTTATTTATTTATTTTTGACAGGCAGAGTGGACAGTGAGAGAGAGAGAGACAGAGAGAAAGGTCTTCCTTTGCCGTTGGTTCACCCTCCAATGGCTGCCGCGGCCGGCGTGCTGCGGCTGGCGTACCGCGCTGATCCGATGGCAGGAGCCAGGAGCCAGGTGCTTCTCCTGGTCTCCCATGGGGTGCAGGGCCCAAGCACCTGGGCCATCCTCCACTGCACTCCCTGGCCACAGCAGAGAGCTGGCCTGGAAGAGGGGCAACCGGGACAGAATCTGGCGCCCCGACCGGGACTAGAACCCGGTGTGCCGGCGCCGCTAGGCGGAGGATTAGCCTAGTGAGCCGCGGCACCGGCCCACCTAATGATTCTTATTAATTGTACTGGTTGCAGATTTTATGCTTGCACATGTGGCAAACTCTTAATTTCCTATTCTGCAGTATAATTTGAATATGCAAGTGATGAGTTTGATATGATTTGCAATGATTTTACTCTAAGCTGTATAAATAAATTCTAACAGAGGTGTGCCTAAAAGTATAAAAGAGACCTGAAACCAAGAAATATATTCTGGAAGACATTTAGACTCAATATATGAATGTCATTATCCAATCTTAAAGCATCCTGGATAAAGTATTAACATATATAGAAACTTAGCAAGAAATGACTTGTCCAAAGTCAACCAATCTATAAAATAAATAATACCAGAACCACTTGCCAGAGAGTAGAAGGTTCCAGGCTAACTCCATTTCTTAGACAAGGATTAGGTATTACTACAAATGAAGAGCAATAACCAGCCATACAATTTTGAGTAAATTTTTATCTATAGGCTTCAACAAATTAATTTCTCTAAAAAGTTAAATATGTACCTCTAAAATTCCTCTTACTTGAACTTTGTAAATTGTCAAATTTGGTGCGGCTTACTGCGTCCCACGTTACTCTGAGCCTGCCTTACTGGGATCTTCAGGGTTTGGATCACCAGAGCCTTCCATCACCAGGCCATCTCCTGTACTTTTTTTTTTTGACAGGCAGAGTGGATAGTGAGAGAGAGAGAGAAAGGTCTTCCTTTTACCATTGGTTCACTCTCCAATGGCTGCTGTGGCCAGCGCGCTGCGGCCAGCACACCGCGCTGATCCGATGGCAGGAGCCAGGTGTTTATCCTGGTCTCCCATGGGGTGCAGGGCCCAAGAACTTGGGCCATCCTCCACTGCACTCCTGGGCCACAGCAGAGAGCTGGCCTGGAAGAGGGGCAACCGGGACAGAATCTGGCGCCCCGACTGGGACTAGAACCCGGTGTGCCGGTGCCGCTAGGTGGAGGATTAGCCTAGTGAGCCGCAGCGCCGGTTTTCTCCTATACTTTCCCAACTGAGCCCTGTCCCTGGCCTTGCTGACAGTCCTACACTGTCAGTGGTACGCTGAGTAGCATTTGAGCCAGGAAAAAGAAAGGAGGATATGGTGGTGAGGGGGTATGTGGTGCTCTTCAATGACTTAAAAATGAGGCCTTTTAATTCTGTCTATATTCCTCTCCTTAGAATCGTCATCCTACTGCTCTCCTTAGAATGTATAAATTAAACGGCTCTGGAAATGTCTGAAAATGCAAGAGTTAACATTCACAATGTACCAATCTTTTTTTTTTTTTTTAATGGACAGGCAGAGTGGATAGTGAGAGAGAGAGAGAGAGAGAGAGAGAGAGAGAGAGAAAGGTCTTCCTTTTCAGTTGGTTCACCCCCCAGTGGCCGCTGATCCGCACCGTGCTGATCCGAAGCCAGGAGCCAGGTGCTTCTCCTGGTCTCCCATGTGGGTGTGGGGCCCAAGAACCTCGGCCACCCTCCACTGCCTTCCCGGGCCACAGCAGAGAGCTGGACTGGAAGCGGAGCAACCAGGACAGAATCCGGCGCCCCGACCGGGACTAGAACCTGGGGTGCCGGTGCCACAGGTGGAGGATTAGCCTAGTGAGCCACGGTGCTAGCCAAGGAAGGACTGTTTCCAAGGGGTGGAGAAATTTTCAGTGGGGAAGTGAGAGAACAGAACAGAACAGAACAGAGATGCCATGGGACAGTGAGGAGAGAGGATGCACTGCTGTGGCTGTGCGGCATAGCCAGCTGCCATCTGGGAGACACCATGTTCCCAAGTAAAGGCAGGAAGAAGCTGCTGTGTGCCCCCCTACTGGCAGCCTTAGGTGAGGGAAAATTCCACAGTCCCCCACTGACTGTAACTCCAGCCTGAGGTCTGAGTAAATGCTTGGATCCAAGAAGAGCAGCTATTCTGCATCCCTCCACCCACAATGAGCAAAGGAGTCAGCTGTGTACAGTCATACAGCTGATCGGTGTTCTGCTGCTACCAGAAGCAACCAGAGCCACAGTCAGGGCAACTTGTGGGTGGAGGGCAGATCCCCTGCATCCTACAACCGAGGAATTCTGGGCATAGGCCCTGGACTCAGCTCATTCTCTGTGATCCAAAGGGGCTCCCCTAAGCTTTCTGGGCCTAGCAACAGCAGCAGCCCATACAAAATCCAGACCCAACCTGAGGAGTTCTTTCTTCATGTCCTAGCTCACGGTGCTGAGAGCTCCAGGTACAAACCACAACAACACCTTTACATGCCTTGTGAGAGCTGGGACAGTTTTATCTGTGCCTTGCAGAATCAGGACTGTTGGTGTTAATAATCTTTGGAGTAGTTTGCACTCACTTGTGATACCTGGAATGCTCTGTCTGCATCACTCTGCTTCAGATAGGCAGCTATCACAATCCCAACACCTGGCCCTCACCCTGGGAGTTAAGGGCAGTGACCCCACTGTTCCCTGCAAAATCAGGACTGTAACAATCAGTACTAATTTCCTTAAACCCTCTGGGTCTTTTTTCTCTTTTCTCATGTTTATGTTACATTCTCAAGTTTTCCATTCACTTTTTTTTTTCAAAGAAACCTTTTATTTAATGAGTACAAATTTCATAAGTACTACTTTAGGAATATAGTGATTCTTCCCATCATACCTGCCCTCCCACTCCCACCCCACCTCCTCCTCCCCCCTCCCTCTCCCATTTCCAGTCCCATTCTCCATTAAGATTCGTTTTCAATTAACTTTATACACAGAAGACCAACTCTATACTAAGTAAAGACTTCAATAATTTGCATGCACACACACACAAATTATAAAAAACTGTTTGAGAACAAGTTTTACAGTTAATTCTCATAGCACAACTCATTAGGGACAGAGGCCTTACATGGGGAGTAAGTACACAGTGACTCCTGTTGTTAAAAAAAAAATTAATTTTTGACAGGCAGAGTGGACAGTGAGAGAGAGAGAGACAGAGAGAAAGGTCTTCCTTTTTTTGCCGTTGGTTCACCCTCCAATGGCCGCTGCGGCTGGCGCACCGTGCTGATCTGGAGGCAGGAGCCAGGTGCTTATCTTGGTCTCCCATGGGGTGCAGGGCCCAAGCACCTGGGCCATCCTCCACTGCACTCCCGGGCCACAGCAGAGAGCTGGCCTGGAAGAGGGGCAACCGGGATAGAATCTGGCACCCCGACCGGGACTAGAACTCGGGGTGCCGGCGCTGCAAGGCGGAGGATTAGCCTATTGAGCCACGGCGCCGGCCTCCTGTTGTTAATTTAACAATTAATACTCTTATGGGGGCTGGCACTGTGGCTTAGCTGGTAAAGCTGCCATCTGCATTGCCGGCATCCATATAGGTGCCAGTTCCAGTCCTGGCTGCTTGGGCCCCTGCACCTGTGTGTGAGACCCAGAAGAAGCTCCTGGTTCCTGGATTCGGATCACCTGAGCTCTGGCTGCTGCGGCCAATTGGGGAGTAAACCAGCAGATGGAAGACTCCTTTCTTTCTTTCTCTCTCTGCCTCTCCTTCTCTCTGTGTAACTCTGACTTTCAAATAAATAAAAAAAAAAAAAAAGGAAAGAGACTCACATTTAAACACATCCATGTGAAATTCTGGAATATCAAAAATCAAAGGAAAATCCTTAAAAAAAAAAAAAAAACTTAAGTATGACATCATTGATCATTCAAGGCTCTTGACATGAGCTGCCAAGGCTATGGAAGCCTTTTGAGTCCACAATCTCCATATTTAGATAAGGCCATAAGCAAAGTGGAAGTTCTCTTCTCCCTTCAGAGAAAAGTACATCTTTCTTTGATGGCCCCTTCTTTCCACTGGGGTCTCACTCACAGAGATTTTCATAGGACATTTTTTTGCAAGTGTCTTGGCTTTCCATGCCTGAAAGCTCTCATGGGCTTTTCAGCCAGACCAGA